ATGGCCAAATAGAAGAGGGGGGAAAAATAAATAAAAAATATATACAGAATAAAAAGAATATGCTGTAAAATAGATGAAAAAATAGTGGTAATAAATGAAATAAATAAAAGCGAAATGATAAGGGGCAGCAGATAAAAATAACAAGAAATAGCAGATAAAAATCATCATTGACATCATGCCAACTCTGCTAAATAGTAAGGGCAGGCATGGTGAGTAAATAAATAAGTGGAATAAAATGGTATAAAAACCAAACTCTCGCACCTTATGGCCTGAATGTTGATTTTGATTTGTTCAATTTCCTGTAAGTAAGAGCATTTAATATATGTTTTTATACCATTTTATTCCACTTATTTATTTACTCACCATGCCTGCCCTTACTATTTAGCAGAGTTGGCATGATGTCAATGATAATTTTTATCTGCTATTTCTTGTTATTTTTATCTGCTGCCCCTTATCATTTCGCTTTTATTTATTTCATTTATTACCACTATTTTTTCATCTATTTTACAGCATATTCTTTTTATTCTGTATATATTTTTTATTTATTTTTCCCCCCTCTTCTATTTGGCCATAGCCGGCTCTGTTGTGTCCTATCTCCATGACGACGGCCACAGCGTTGTGTGAGCCGTCGTCTATTTACTTCCTGACGACGGCGGCTTCTGTTGTGTGCGTGCCGCCGTCGTCAGCACGTCCGCTTTTTGTCCCGCCCACTGACGTCTGGACGCACCGTCTATGCGAGCGGCTGCGTCCAGACGCCAGCTACCAGTTCCCCCTTACGGCGCCGGCGGCTGCGCAGTGCCGGCCGGCGTCGAAATACATTTCCCACAATTCCCTTTGGTTTCGATGCCGGTCATGTGACCGTGCATCACATAGTCTTTTTTGCATCAACTATTGATCGTTTCTAGAGTTTAACTATATGATGTACATAGTTTTTTAGTTCTTATTTTTATGCATGTTATAAATTATGTTTTATTAGTGTTTTATTGAATGTAATTTCTTACTGCAATTTGATTGGCTGCCCAAATTTTGGCGCCAATTTTTGAACTAATTGTATATGCTATTTAAATGATCTACTGCCAGGTATCAGGTTCTTTACCCATATTGATAACGCCGATTGGCGAAACGCGTTTATGGTTTTTTTATATTGTGTAATGTTACAATTAAAGTATATTTTATAATCTTTTATTGTACTACTTATCTTTTTATACACATATAATTATTATTTTTACCTGGCATTACTCCCTGGACTCCAAGCAATCCTAGGTGGGGATTATTCCACCAGTGCGAAATACCAGGAGCAGTTGACCTGCTCCTGTCTTCATTTCTTATACCAACGGAAGGAGGAAATACGTGAAGGATAACCATCCCATATCCCATAAGCGGGGATCTAAACCGCTGTACGCCTTCTATACCAGAGCAGGTTCTAGCTCTTGGATATGTGAGTTCGCAATCAAGCTTTTATATTTTATTCTTTTCACATTAAGATATACTGCACCATTGTGGTTCTGTATCTGTTTTTATCTCTTACATACGAGACAGTCCACAAGAAAGACAGAAAGCAAGATTACTGTTTCGGACTAAGCACTACGGACATTGCAAGATAAGACCTTCTCTCCTTTATTTATTTTATCTGGACTTTTATACTTTTTATCTAAGCGCAGCCCTTTTTTGTATTTTTTGTGTTTTATCCTAAAGGGTTTTTGAGGGATTCCCTTTTAGGGTTGCTGCTCATTTGTGTTATTCAGCGCTCACTCATTGTCTTGGTTTTAAGTGATGATTTGTGTGCACGATTCCTTATTCCTGCATTTTAGCATCACCACTATTAAATAATGCATATCTTTGGTCTAATAAGATGATAAATCAGAACATTTTGGAGGAAGTTTAATGGGACATTATAGGCACCCATACCACATCAGCTCATTGAAGTGGTTTGGGTGCAGTGTCCCTTCTACACTTAGTGCTGCAATGAAAAACATTGCAGTTTTAGAGACACTACAATGTTTACATTGCAGCACTAAAGCTGCCTATAGTGGCTGTCTACCAGACATCCACTAGAGGTGATCTTAGAATGTTTTTTTGTGGGAAGCAATTTCCATGATGTTCAACGAGCAGGAAGCATCCCTCTTTCCTTCCCATTTATTTTTGTATCTCCTTTCATAGTCACTCCTGTCTACAGCCATGTTTACATTGTTATCCCAACAGCTATATATCTCCTCGCCCATACTTCTCTCATCAGTCATGCCCATATGTGTTCCCTTCCCAGCCATACCCATACGTGTTCTCCTCCCAACTATGCCCATACATGTTCCCTTCCCAGCCATACCCATACGTGTTCTCTTCCCAACTATGCCCATACGTGTTCCCTTCCCAGCCATTCCTATACGTCTTCCCTTCCCACATGTGTTACTTTCAAAGTAGATAATCGTTGCAGTTTGACAGAGTTATGATTTCTGCTTGAGGAAAACTTGGTGAATTTGCTTAGATTGAAATGAAGATGCTTTTGCAGATGGTGCTAGAGCAGATGGTGATCGGAGCATTGGAAAAGGTACCCTTGAGAAGTTATACACTGACCACAGATCAGAGAGAATATGGTCTAAAGTGTTAGCAGCTTTCTAAGTAGGGGAACCAGTTCACTATGTGATACCAAAGGAAGATATCATAGAAAAGTGTCGGGAGACGTTCAACACATTACAGTGTAATGCGGTTTTATTATGCATTACAGTGTCCATTATATACAGGGTTTATACAGCTTTCCATGCATTTGGACACATAGAAAGGCTTGCATCATTATATATAGCTAATTTGATATCACTGCACTGTCTCTTTAAGAATTAAGTTACTAAAATATGATGTATAACAATATTATTCTTTTTTTCCCTAAAAACCATTGACAGCTGTCATAAAGTGGTTTTGAGTAACAATTACATACTCTATGCAAAATACATTCAATTTAACACTTACGCTTGATTGATACAGAACAATTCATCTTAATGAGTCTTTGTTTTTTTTAATGGTTGCAGATTTTTCTTTCTTTCTAAGCTATGATATATTTTGAAAATGTAAAAAATGCCAATTTAACTGGCTAGAGGAAATTCTCAATTATTTTATAACATCATCTCATTATCTGTCACACTCACAGATTGCTGAAGTTTTCTTTGAAGGTAAACGATTAGAAGAGTGACCAGGATGTACAGGATGTTTGGCATATACTGGAGTGAATTTATGTTGTCTTACGAGCAGCCTCAAATTCATTAAGCAAAGATCTCTTGGAAACCCAGTTATATTTTTAAAGAATACTTTAAAATTATATGCAAGGCATTAATTTGAGGTCCAATTCTTCAATAGTAAAATGAGCTTAGAGGCCAATTCTTAAATTTAATATAATAAATACTAAAATTAATTCTTAACACATTACATATAGACTAAGAGCTTGTTTCCAATGTTGTTGGTAACTTTTACCAAACTGGCTTTACTTGCTAGTAGCTGTCACTAATCTTAGCAAGTATTGGCTATTTTCCAACTACAAAATCTCACCATTATTTACAGGGAGTAACCAGCATGCGTTACTGTTTACAGCTCTCATAGAGTATTATGAAGCCATTAAAAGCTAGTTATGGTCTGTTTTCTGGCAGGTGGTAATTAAGATGGTATTAACAGCAATTTAAAACTCCACCATGACTCATCTGACATGTTTCGTACTTTCCAACGGGAATTCGTTTTAGACAAGAATAAAAATCATTTTCCTCCATCATCCTGTTAAAATGCAAATACATGTACAAAGTACAGGGTGCGCAATAGAAAAACACCACTACACAATGTGATATACTTATATCAAGGAGGACCTTACAATATTTCTCTGGTTATCTGTAAAATATAAAACTATACATAGCATAATACTGTATAATACAGAGAGTATAATACACAGAGGTAATATGTCACTCACTCTTCCTAGAGTCACGTATAACAGGCTCTAGCTTGTCAGCATGAAAAGCTGCTGGAATGAATAGTGTATCCTGCAGTTCTGTATTTCCCCAAATATTTAGGACACTTGAAGATTATTCCAAAATGATGAATTTACTTCAATAAGGTACAAAGAACCGGATATAGCAGCAATCAAATAATAAAAGTCCAACGTAAAAGCACAACGCGTTTCAACTTTGTAGGTTTTCCTCGGGTGCATTGTTCCACATTCACCTATAAAAATAACCACAGTAGAACAAAGTATGGGCAAAATTACCATAAAAGGAAATTTGACCAAAAATCAGAGATCAATTATAATAAATCCATCATAGATAGACCAATAAGAAAACCAACAATTGAAAGAATACAAACCCAGGAATGGATTGAAGTAAAAAGAAAAAGAAATAATAGTGGGAATTGGAGAAATAAAAATAAAAATCAATTAGAGAATGGAATAAATAATACTCATGGGAACCAATATAGGTCCCCGCCCCCTCAAAGGAGAGACACTCCAATACACAATCGCTTCGATACATTGAGAAATATAGAGGATGACAATACTAACTCTACTTTTTTAGGTCGGAGATGGAGGTAGGCCCCAATGGAAACACCGAACCCGCAAAGAAAGAGACACAGGGTTTTATAAGAAGGGGAAATAGGGGAGGAAAAAAAATTGGAGAGGGCAAGGAAGAAAATTACTGAGAAGATAAAGATTTTTAATTTAACAGAATTTTTTTTCAGATCAAACTCAGGTAAAAGTTTTAAATAAAGGATTTAAATTTGCCCCTAGCTGCTATATAAATAAATTTGAAGCATATACAGATTTAAACAAATTATGTCTTAAAAAGTTTTTTTAAACATAAGAAAGAAAACAATACGATAGAAAATATAGAAAGTGATGGTGATATTTTCACACACATGGATTTGAAGAATCCTTCTACTTTTTATCCAATATATCTGAAGTCTAATTTTATGACTAGACAGGAGGCTTCATATTTGCTTTACCTTCTTTACTGAAACCTCCAGCAGCAAAGAAACAGTTAACAGATTTTTTTCAAACAACCAATCAGAACAAAATGACAGCAGTATGAAATCCCACAGTCAGACCCTCCCACTTCCTCTTTCTTTGCTGCTGCTTCTAGGTGAGCACTGTCTAACTCAGAGAGTGTGTCTGCTCTGGGTTCTTTTGTGTATTTATTTGCATTGTTACTGCCTATTTTGTATTTATTATCGGGGCTGCTTGCTTTGTGTGTGCCCCTTTGATTTATGTGGGGATCTGGGATCCTGGGGTGCTGCCTAGCCTTTGGGTTTCCCTGGGGATCCCCCCTGCCAGCCCTCGCGCTGCCCGCGATTGCGGCAACCGTGCCCTCCCCCCGGGGTTTTCGGCCTTCCTGGCTCCTGTCGCGGCTCCCAGTCGCTTTCCCGTTCCCCGCTTGTGACACACAGACTGCTCGTGGCACCTCAGGTGCCTGGGCTCTGACTCGGGTGATTCCCTCTGCTCTGTGCATATAGGCTCCACACGTAAGGGACCTTGGAAGGGCCATGGCGCTCCCACTGATAAAGAGGAAGCTTTCTGTCAAGTTAACCAAGACGTCCTGGATGAGTACGGGACCGACAGCTCAGGTGCCACATCCCTTCAGTGCTGTTTTTTTTCTCAGCGGCCATTCCCACTATGTGACGGAAACGGTGTTGGACTCTCTCCTGACTGATCGCCAAAGGGCCCGCCAACCACCGCTGATGACCCCATTGAGATCCTAGATCCTTCCGGCCCTCCCTTTCTTCGATCCACAGGCTCATTAAACACCCTCACTCCTCGTAATGGGCCCCTCTGCAGAACTCGGGTCATGCACTTGAGGATGATCTACATGGTTTAAACGCGTTGTGCTTTTACTTTGGACTTTTATTATTTGATTGCTGCTATATCCGGTTCTTTGTACCTTATTGAAGTAAATTCATAATTTTGGAAAAATCTTCAAGTCTCCTGAATATTTGGGGAAATACAGAACTCCAGGATACACTATTCATTCCAGCAGCTTTCTTTGCTGACAAGCCATCACAGCCAGAGCCTTCTATACATGGCTCTGGGAAGAGTGAGTGACCCATTACCTCTGTGTATTATACTATCTGTATTATACAGTATTACGCTATGTATAGTTTTATATTATACAGATAACCAGATAAATATTGTAAGTATAAGTATATCACAGTGTGTGGTGGTGTTTTTCTACTGCGAACCCTGTACTTTGACACTAGGGTTGCTGCATTTTCATATTTTAACTAGCGCCAATCCACCCATTGTAACGGAGTCTTACCTGATAGGGAGTCCAGCTCGCAGAGTTATACGCTCACCCTTGCAAAGTAGACACAGACCAGGGTGACCAGGTAAGACGCCACCTGGCCTGTGAGTCTGTGCACGGGGGCTTTCCAGGAAAAGTGCTCCAAGACTCAGTACAGCAGGGATAAGCAGAAGCGTGGTCAAGGGAAGCCAAAATCAGGGAAGCCAGAGGTCAGAGTAGTCCAGGAGGAAAGCCAAGGTCAGAAGCCGGAAAGACAAGAATCACTGGAACGCAGGTACGGAGTAACAGGAACCAAACAAGAGAACCAGAGTCAATGAACTGACACCCCTCCCAGGGTGAGGCAGGCTTTTATATCCTGTTAATTAGGATCAGATTCAGCTGGAGAGTTACTGACAGATCAGAGCCTTTGGTGAAGTCCAGCCCCCTGGTGCTGCAGGCAATACAAGAATAAACAGGGAGTTATCCAAAGTCCTGAAATGGCTCAGAGGAAGAACAGCAGGATATGGTCCAGAAGAACCACAGTTCAAATCCCCTATCGGGCGCTTCCAGAGCGACCACGTCTGGCAGACTGGATGTCACGGCGTGGACCGTGACACCCATATCCAATTGTTTTTTAACTTTGGTTGTTTACACCCTGTTAAAATGGTAACCTATCTAAAAAGAAAGTGGAAAGAACAAATTAATTGGTAGAATAATGGATCATTTAGATGCAAAAAGAAATACAAATAATGAGGTACGCTTGTTCTCTGAGCCAAGGTACCTGTCACCTATGGACATTGTATTCTGGGTACCTGTCACCTATGGACATTGTATTCTGGATACCTGTCACCTAAGGGCATTGTTTTCTGTATACCGGTCGCCGATTGACATTGTATTCTGGGTACCTGTAACCTTTGGACATTGTATTTTGGGTACCTCTCAGTCACCTATGGACATTGTATTCTGGGTACCTGTAACCTTTGGACATTGTAATAACTAATAGAATTGTCTAAACAGATAAAGAATAGCGAATCTGTGACTCTTGCTGAGTTGGAGAATTTTTTAACTCTGCATATTTTCCCTACAAATTATCGAATGACTCACCGATATTGCGGTACTGTGGCATGGTGGTGGACTTAACATGAGGTGTGACTGATTTCCCCAAATTGTTTGCTAAGATGAATTTAAGTAAAATTTTAAACTGTATTTTTTCTGTGTGTTTTCTGTTTCTTAATCTGTATTTTCCAGAAGCAGTGACATTGTCACAGTAACTGTGTCTGCACAGTTACTGTGTGTTTTACTTTCTTCACTATAAATTCACTATAAATGTATGCTTATGCTTGCAACTGACTTCACTGACAAGATCTCTACAATCAGAGAAGAGATCTCTCATCTCTTCTTCCCCTTACAATACTTCCATTAACCTCACTCCCTCTGCTGTTCTATGTTCATTCGCACCCGCTACAGCAGAAGAGGTTTCTGCTCTGCTCCAGTCCTCTTTCCCCACTACCTGCTCCATCTCATCCATACTCTGTCTTCTTCTCTTTCTCTACCTCTCACTAAAATTCTCAACCTCTATCTCTCCTCTGGCATATTTCCATCATTCTTCAAACATGCAACTATAACCCCAATTCTAAAGAAGCCCAACCTTGACCCTAACTCCCATCCAACTACCGTCCTATCTCGCTACTGCCTTTTGTGTCCAAGATCCTTGAAAGAGTTGTGTATGTGAGATTGACAGATTTCCTCAAGTCCAACTCTCTGCTAGACCTGTTTCAGTCTGGTTTCTGCGCTAAGCACTCTGTGGAAACGGCACTGACCAAAGTATCCAATGATCTACTCGCTGCAAAATCTCGTTGTCACTACTATATTCTAATTCTCCTTGACCTTTCTGCGGCTTTTGACACTGTTGATCATCAACAGCTTCTTCTCATCCCTCTTGACTAGTGTCTCTGACTGCCTCTCTGCTATTTCTAACTAGATGGCTGCCCACTGCCTTAAACTAAACTTGACCAAAACTGAAATTTCCTCCTTAATGCTACTCCTGTGTCTGTCTCCCTCCAAGTGAACGGTGCTACCATCAGCTCCACCACGCAGGCTCGATGCTTAGGTCTTCTCTTTTACTCCGACCTCTCCTTCATGCCTCATGTTCAGTCTATTGCCAAATCCTGCCGCTTCCATCTCAAAAACATTGTGCACATCCGACCCTTAACGCCAGATGCGACTAAGGTTCTGGTCCATTCCACTGTCCTTTCTCGCCTTGACTACTGTAATCCACTTCTCAGTGGTTTTACGTGCTCCTAACTTGCGCTGTTACAGTCCATAATGAATGCGGCGGCGAGGCTCATCTTCTTGTCCGCCCACACCTCCCATGCCTCACCCTTCTGTCAGTCCCTACATTGGCGTCCTGTAACATATAGGGCTCAATTTAAAATTGTGGTTCTTGCTTTCAAATCTCTACATAATGCTGCTCCCACCTATTTATCCTCCCTAATACACAAGTATGTACCGTCTAGGCCCTTACGCTCTGCTGAAAACTTATGCCTATCTTCTGTGCGTACTCCCAACTCTGATGCTCACCTTCAAGACTTCTCGAGGGCTGCACTGTTCTTGTGGAATGCACTTTCCTCCTCCGTTAGATGCTCACCCAGTCACCTTTCCTTCAAAAAAAAAATTAAAAATCCACTTCTTCATAAAAGTATATCAATTAAACTGTTAATAGCTCCCGACTGATTCCTCTCCTGCAACTGTCATTAGTCTAATACGATCCTTACCTTTTGTGTCACTTTACCCTATTCCCTCTAGCATGTAAGCTCATTGAGCAGGGCCCTCAACCCCTCTGTTCCTGTGTGTCCAACTGTCTGGTTACAACTACATGTTTATTCGTCCACCCACTGTAAAGCGCTGCAGAATTTGTTGGCGCTATGTAAATAATAACATAATTAAAAATAATAATAATAATTTATATCAGAGCTGCATACTGCAATATACATTTTATGACATTTACTGATGCTTATGAATAGGAAGGTGTAGAAGATTACAGTACATCAAAGAGAGACCTCTTAAGGGAACACTAAAGTGTTAGGAATACAAACCTGTATTCCTAGCACTTTAGTGCCCCTATCCCTTGTTATAGTAATCACAAGCATGTGTGCCAAAAATGAAAAAAATAAAGCCTTTTACTTACCTTTTTTCAGCACAGAGTCTTTCTTGCTGTTGCTTAACCTCTCTTCCGGCAATGTCATGGAGGATGCATGTTTTTTATCTCCACTTGATAAAGCCTTAAAGGGGAAATGCATTGTGGATATTTTACTATTGTTAATGGTATTTTGGCTACTTTTATACTGTGAGTGTACCATTTAACTCTTTTATTATTATTTTATACTTTTACGTCTTTACTGCCTGGTGTCAACTCCCTCCCACTTACCTTATCGGTCCACCGATCTGCTGTTGGACTGCTGCTCCCACGCCGTGAGAAGCTCCACTCAGCCACAGAGACGCCTGCTATGCCCGCCCCTTTTAATGACGTGGCGCATGCATGCTAATTTGAAATTGAAAGTATTTGAGATATTTCTGTAAGCCTGTCCCACCTAATGGCTTGTGAGTACAATATATAACTCCTAT